TTCTTGACTGCTGCTTGCATTGATGTTGATTGTGGAACCAAGTAATACAAAATCTTTGACAACTTCAATCTTTTCTCTATTTATTGTGATGTTGCTTATTGGTCCATTTGTGAGGAGTTTCGTTTTCTTTATGTTGAGATGTAATCCATATTGTAGACTATAGTCTTTAATCTTCATCAATAAATGCTTCAAGTCATTTTCACTTACAGGAAAAAAGTTGTGTTGTCTGCATATTACAGGTTGTTAATCCTCCAATCCTGATGCTATGTTTCTTAGATTATTTGCTTAGCATACAGATTTAATAAGTATGACTAAAGGGTCTACCTGACACTCCTTTCCTGATTTTAAACCATGCAGCATCACCTTTGTCTGTTCAAATGACAGCCTGTGTACAAGTTCCTAATGAGCACACTTAAGTGTTCTGGAATTTCCATTTTTCTCAATGTTATCCATAATCTGTTATGCTCCACACAATCAAATGCTTTTGATTAGTCAATAAAACACAAGTAAACATCATTCTGGTATTCTTTGCTTTGAGCCAAGAACCATCTGACATCGGCAAAGATATCCTTTGTTCCACGCCCTTTTCTGAATCCAGCTTATATTTCTGAAAGTTCTCTGTCAGTATACTGCTGCAACTGTTTTTGAATTATCTTCAGCAAGATTTTGCTTACGTGTGATATTAATGGTATTGTTCGATAATTTCCACATTCTGTGGCATCACCTTTCTTTGGAACAGGTACAAATACGGATCTCTTCCAATCAGTTGGCCAGATAGCTATCTTCCAAATCTCCTGGAATAGGTGAGTGAGTGCCTCCAGTGGGGCATCCCTTTGTTGAAACATCTCCGTGGGTGTTCCTTCAGTTCCTGGAGCCTTGTTTTCTGCCACTTCCTTCAGTGCAGCTTTGACTTCTTCGTTCAGTACCATTGGTTCTTGATCATGTGCCACCTCCTGAAATCGATGAACTTTGACTAATTCTTTTTGGTACAGTAACTGTATTCCTTCCATCTTTTGATGTTTCCTGCATCATTCAGTATTTTACCCATAGAAAGTTGCATTATTGCAACTCAAACCTTGAGTTTTTTCTTCAGTTCTTTCCACTTGAGAAATGGCAATCATGTTCTTCCCTTTTGGTTTTCTAATTCCATGTCTTTGTACATTTCATTGTAATAATTGACTTTGTCTTCTTGGCTTGCTCTTTGAAATCTTCTATTCTGTTCTTTTATCTTGTTATTTCTTCCATTTGTTTTAGCTACTCCATTCAAGGGCAAGTTTCAGAGTCTCTTCTGACATCCATTGTGGTCTTTTCTTCATTTTTTGTCTTTTTAATGACCTTTTGCTTTATGGATGATCTTGATGTCATCCCACAGTTCTTCTTGTTTTTGGTCATTGGTGTTAAGTGCATCAAATCTGGTCTTTAAATGGTCTCTAAATTCAGGAGGGATGTAATCAAGGTCATATTTTGGCTCTCATGGACTTGTTTTAATTGTCTTCAGCTTGAACTTCCATATGCGCAAGTGATGGTCTATTCCACAGTCAGCTCCTGGCCTTGTTTTGGCTGAAGATATTGAGCTTCTCCATCACTTCTTTCCACAGATGTAGTCATTCTGGTTCTTGTGTATTTCATCTGGTGAAGTCCATGTCTATATAGCCACCATTTATGTTGTTGAAAAAAAGATACTTGCAACAAATAAGTAGTTGGTCTTGCAAAATTCTACCATGCAACCTCCAGCATTATTTGTATCACCAAGGCCATATATTACTACTGTCAGTGATTCTTTGTTTCCACTTTAGCATTCCAATCACCAGTAATAATCAACACATCTTGATTGCATGTTTGGTCAATTTCATGCTGTAGAAGTTGGTTAAAAATCTTCAATTACCTCATCTTTGGCTTTGGGGGTTGGTATGTAAATTTGAATAATAGTTGTATTAACTCGTCTTCCTTGTAGGTGTATGGATATTATTCTATCACTGACAGCAGTGTCTTTAAGGATAGATCTTATTATTAATGCCTGTGAAGTTCTGGTAGCACAGTGCCTAAGGCATCTGACTGCTAACCAGAAGGTTGGTTCAAATTCACCAGCCACTCTGTGGAAGCAATACTGGGCAATCTGGTTCCGTAAAAATTTACTGCCTCGGAAATCCAAAAGGGGTCACTATGAATTGGAATCGACTTGATGGCAGTGGGTTTGGGTTTTTTGGTTTATAGATTTAAAATTATTACTCTTTTTTTTTCTTATGTTAGTCATTTGTACCTTTTCTGTTTGTTCTTTGATTAGTCTAGAACCAACATTTATCTTTTTCTTTGTTGATTTTCTCAATGATATGTTTTCTGTATCATTGTTTCTTTCTGCTCTTATTTTCTTCCTTATACTTTCACTTGGTTATATCTTTTCCATTATATTCAATTGAAAATGTTTTCTTACTATGATTTCTTTTTTGTCTCATTATCTATAAGTTTATTGTTCAATATGAAAATATTTGAAGATATTTTAGTTGTCTTATTGTTGCTGATTTCTAGCTTAATTCTGTAGTTAAAGTACACATTCAGAATGATTCGGTTCTTTGGAATTTGTTGATATTTCACTACAGCTTAGCATATGTTCAGTTTTGGTAAATGTTTAATTTGCACTTCAAAAGGAAGTTGTAGTACTTATGTTTGTGTGTCAACTTGTCTGGGCCTGGTTGAGTGGCTGGGCAGCTGGTGGTAATTATTCCCCATGATGAGACTGGTAATCAATTCCATGGCAGGATCTATCATAAGCAGCTGAGTAGCTGCCTTTGGGATGTGGTCTGCTTCCTGTATATAAGGAGAAGCTTTGAGAATGGTCTCTAGCCTATGGCACGCTTGGACCCTGCATGTAGCCATATTGTGCTCAGGAGCCTGCTATGCTCTGCCGACCTTGGGGCTTACAATGGACTTGAATTAATGGCCTGCCATGTGATTTGGTAATATCAGGACTGTGCCTTTTTACTTGTCAACGTTGAGCTTGGCAGCCTCAGCAGCCAGCACCTGTCTGTGAAGAAAAGCCTCTGCTTCTGTGGGCTGGGGGAGTATGAGGCAGAGCTGAATCCCAAGGTTGAGGGGCTTTCACCCAGCCCCTAGAGCCTGGCACTTTGAACTTGGACTGAAAGTCTCTAAACCGTAAGAGAATAAACTGTTAAGGCCATCTCATTTGTGGTATATTCTTGCCAGAGCAGCACTAGGTAACCACAACAGAATTATATTCAGCATTTGTTGGATATTGTCTTCTATAGATGCCAAGTCATATTTATTAATTGGGGTGTTCGATTTTTGTGTCTTTTTTGATACAGAAGATTGAAAAAGATAGTTCTGCTTATTCTTTCACTTACAACAAAAGATAATAAATATCACACAGTGATTTTAAAGTTAATTTTTTCTCTTTGTAGTTTTGTGTTTGCTTTATTTATTTTGGGAGCTCTGGTCGCATAGTGCCTAAGGCACTTACTTAACTGCTAACCAGAAAGGTTCAGTTCAAACCCACCAGCCAGTCCTCAGAAGGAAAGTTGTGCAATCTACTTCTGTAGTGATACCATGTCAGAAACCCAAGGAGGGGTCACTATGAGTCAGATCCAACTCGAGGACAAATAACATCAACAACTATTTATTTTGAAACTATGTTGTTAAAGACATAAAAGTTAGAATTTTTATATCTTCCTGTTGAATTAGTCCTTTTTTCATTATGAAACTTTTGTCTTTATTTCTGTTCCATCAGAATTTACTATAGTGACATAAGCCTTTGTTTTGGTTAAATATTCTTATGGTATATCTTCCCCTATATTTTTTACTCCACATATATATGTGATGGATAGATAGATAGATAGGTACTGTTTTTCTTCATGCAGTCTGATAATTATTGTCTTTGGTTTGGGGCAGTTCTGGTATGACTTTCTTTGTATTTATCCTATTTTGTGTTCTTTAGAGCTTCTTAGCTTGGTTTCTTTCACCTTCATATGTTGCATCTGCCCATTCTCTATCTTCTGCCCTTGGATGCCAATTTACATGTGTTAAACCTTTTACCTTGTTTTTTATTTCTTATCATAAGTTTTGATGTATCTTTCTGTATTATATATCTGTTCTTTCTCTCTGAGCATCAGTCTGAAATTTTTCTGCAGCTTGCTAATCTCTTCTGTTAGGCTTGATCTAGGCAACTGTGCTGGCACAGTGGTTAAGGCTGGTGAACCCACCAGCTGCTCCACAGGAGAAAGATGAGGCGGTCTGCTTTCATAAAGAGTTGTAGCCTTCAAAATCCTATGGGGGTTGCTAGGAGTTGGAATCAACTTGATGGCAGTGGGTTTGCTTTGATTTTTTGGTTGTTAAACTAGTTTATTAAATACATACATTTTGGTTTTGTAGTTCTCACTTCCGGTATTGAAGATTTTATATATATATATATAATTACCCAGATTTTCATTTGTTTCCTTAAGTATAATCATTGTTCTTTCCTTTAAAGTTCCTATCTGATAACTCCAAATCTGGATCATTTGACTTTTTTTTTCTCCTGGTTTTCAGTCATTGGTCTTATTTTATGGCATGCCTAATAATATTTTATTGAATATTGGACATTATGTACAGAAATTTTTAGATGTTCTGGATGATATAGCCAGCAGATTGGATTTGATCATTCTTTTTACTCAAAGCCGGTCTATTTCTAGTTTTCTGTCATTCCAAGGACATCAGCCACTTGGGTATTACGAAGTCCTTCTTCCCTAACTGACCCTGAGTTCAGATTTTTACTCCCTAGTGATGTGTGACTTCCAGTTTGCTTATTTTGCTATGTATTTTCTTGGGAGTTGCTTTCTGCTTGATCTCTCTCAATCTTACTTGGTGCTTACTTAGACAATAAATTTCATCTGAAAGCCTAAGAATACATATTGGGTATTTAAATTTCTTTTCTGAAGTACTTTTGTGTATAAGAGTATATTTGCATTTATATATAAAACAGAGTAACAGTGATTCTTTTCTCTTTTCAGAAAATGGTGTAAATGGAACAGTAACTTCAAATGGAGCTGACTCTCCCCGAAAAAGAAAAGACAAATCCTCATAATCAGTTTCAAGCTAATTGATTTATGTCCCCAAAGAAATCTGCTTTTTGCTATACCTGTCAGCACTAGAGAATTTCTTCTGTTCTTGAAAATACAATTTGTGCTTTGATTCTTGCTGTGATACTGTGTCATGCGTTTTGTAAGGGCATTTGAGGGGAGGATGATCACAATGAGTGGAAAAAATGTTTTAGCTTAGACTAAGCTACCTGCCTTCGGAATAGTTTAGGGACCATGACTGTATTTTGTTTTGTTTTGTTTTTTTACCTTTGAACATTTTTCTAATGATTGAGAGAGAGAACTATTTACAAAAATTCCACATATCAGTGATAAAATTTCTTGCTCTCAAATTTTTTATATTAGCAAGGTGGCCTATTGTGGCAAGGTCATATTTTTTAAGTTATCTTTCAGGGTAAAATGGAAATACTATAAAGTTGAAAGTCAGACTTAAATGTTTTGAGTGTTCTCTAATTTTTAGGAATTTTTTTGTAGCATTTATTTACACCTGAAAAAAAATTTGTAAAATCACCAAAATAACTGTGTGCTTTATTTCATAGTTAGTGATTATTAGTGTTATATCCCCATTATTTTAAAAAAGAAGATACATACAAATGATTACAACATGTGGAAATTTGTTGCCATATATATTGAATCAAACTATATTAACATAAAAGTTCTTGTAAAGAAGTATAATCCTTGTGCATTTTAAACACTTGTAAACTGGAAATCAGAAAATTATTTACCATAAAGAGGAAAATCTGACTTATATAGCCCTTTGTGTTCTGTCTATTAATAATAATTCTTAATGTTTGTCATAAGTTGATGTGCACAGCATTTAGAAATGTTGTTTAACCTGCAAACCCTTTTAAAAAATACTGCCTACTTGATTTGTATCAATAGAAGAAATGTCAAGTGTCTTAGTTCTCTCTAGTGCTGCTATAACAGAAATACCATAAGTGGATGGCTTTTACAAACAGGAATTTATTCTCTTACAGTTTAGGAGGCTAGAAGTCCAAGTTCAGAGTGCCACCTCTAGGGGCCTGATGGAGGCCCCTCAACCTGGGGCTTCAACTCTGCCTCTTATTCCAGGCCCACTGGGACAAGCTAGAGGCTTTTTCTGACTCACACAGCTGCTGGCTGCTGAGGCTGACAAACCCAAGATCAGCAGGCACTGGTTCAAATCCAGGAACTGGAGGTGAAGACTCAGCCAATTACAGGATCCAAAATGTGCCAGAAAGCTAGAGACCACCCTCAAAGCTTCTCCTTATATGCTGGAAGTGGCCTCACCCAGAAGGCATCTACTTAGCTGCTCACAGCAAATTCCATCATGGAGGTGATTACCATCTCATGGGGAATAACTATATCCAGCTGCCAAGCCACTCAAAACCACAGCCCAGCCCCAGGTTGACACACAACCTTGACTACCACATTCTACCCTTTGTCAACTTGGCACCTGTACAGATCTCTTGCATTGGGTGGCCTGATTATCCTAGTCCATCTGAGTGGTGACCTCACCCCCTTGGCCTATTCTTTTGCCCCTAAGGCATGGCAACCCTGCCCCCTCACTTTTGGGCAGTGAGTATGGCCCCATCCCACTGGGGCTCATGTATCACAGCCCCATACTCCAGCAGTAAAACTGGTGAAGATCTGACTCTTTGAAACCTAGGAGGCTGTTGGTGGTTCCACCCTTTGAAACCCCAGAGGCCATGGTCTTACCCTTTGAGACTAAGCAGCTCTGCTTCCCATTTTCCTTGGTCTCTTGAAGAAGCCAGCCTAGCCTCTGCTATGTTCCAGCAAGTACTACAAGTACTACAAAGCTCTTCAGCTCTACCAATTAATGCCCAAAGTCAACCCACTCCATCAGGAAACCTCCTGCCCAAAGGCATTCAACTTTCTTTGTGGGCTGGGAAACCCATCACTGTCTTATCTGCGTCTCTTGGCTCTGCTGCTGTGGTCTGTCTGCCAGTCTCTGCCATGGTCTCAGCACAGGGTTCTCAGGTCTAAGGATGCACTGCACTCCTGCTTTCACATTTTAGGTTACCTGTTAGAGTAGCACCCCACTCTCGGTACCGAATTCTGTCTTAATTCTGTAGTGCTGCTATAACAGAAACACCACAAGTGAATAACTTCTGTAAACAGCAATTTATTCTCTTACAATTGGAGGCCAGAAATCCAAGTTTAGAGTGCCGGCTCTAGGGGTCAGGTGGAGGCCCCTCGACCCTAGGCTTCAGCTCTGCCTCTTGTTCCAGGCCCACTTGAGTAAGCTAAAAGCTTCTTGTGACTCACGCAGCTACTGGCTGCTGAGGCTGATGACCCAAGATCTGCAGGTGAAGTGGCACAATCCCAAGATTGGCAGGCAACATGGCAGAGCACTGGTTCAAATCCAGGAATTGCAGATGAAGACCCAGCCAAATGCAAGATCCAAAATGTGCCAGAAAGCTAGAGACTGTCCTCAAAGCTTCTCCATATATACTGGAAGCAGGCCATACCCCAAAGGCAACTACTTAGCTGCTCACAGCAGATTCCACCAAGAAGTGGATTAACAGTCTCATCATGGAGAATAACTACATCCAGCTGCCCGGCCACCCAAAACCACAGCCCAGCCAAGTTGACACACAACCTTAACTACCATATCAAGTAGTTATATTTGGAAAACATATAATGCACTAACCTTAAAAGAAATTTAAAATTCAGGTGGATAAATACAGTATGAAAAGACAGTGCTTTATGTTATAACTATAGCTTTGGTCCCATCTTTAATTGAGAGACATTTATGTATATGAAACATATTTTTGGATAAATATATATATATATATATATATTTGTATCTACAGAAAGGCTCTAAAAAGCATTTGAGTAAAATACTTGGTTCCCTTTATATAATTACCCTTTAAAATCCTTACAGCTATATTTGGTTTGTCTTTGTCTTTATAGTACATATATTGCTCCTTTTTAGTGTTCACATCTTGTTCTCCTTTCTCACTTTTGTCACTAGTTATGTTTGTGCCATTTTTAGTGTAAAAGTTGCTGACCTGTTAGGTCTGCAGTTTAAGTTTCCATGCTGCTAGAAAGTTGTGCTTTCTGTTCCCAACTGTTTACTTATTTCCTGGAAAAAGTAGTAGCGCTCTGGTAGCATTATGGAATTTGAGTGGAACCAAATTTTTGCCATTTAAAACAGACATCATATTGAACTTATACATGAACTATCAATCAAAATAAAAATTTTTACTTTCACAAGCTGTATTCTGAAAGTTTTCTTGTGTTAACAAAGTTTTTATGCTGTTCAGTATTCAATCTCTTTAAAATGTACCATATTTAAAGAGTACAGTCTTGACAAACATTTATAATGGCCTTTTCCCAAAAGTGTGTTCTGCTAAAAAGATGACTAGTTACAAGGAATAGTTTTGAGGGATACTGAGGGAAAAAAATCATTTCATGACCAAATTTGTGGCAACTGGATTAAACAAAGGTGTTTTACTGCTGTTTGTTTGGTACTTAATATGCAAATGTACAGTGGTAGCACTAGCAAAGCAGAATTCAAATCTTCCCTCTGCCACTGATGAGCTCTGTGTGACTTGGGGGCAAGATAATTAATGTCTGTGCCTCAGTTTCCTGAGATAAATATCACCTACCTCATAAGATACTGTGAGAGCTGAAAGATAGTATATATAAATCACTCATAGCTCCATGTCTGATGTTTATTAAACATGTCAGTTATTGACTCAAGGTTGTGACACAGCACAGAAAATGTGTTTGTATCAAGTACTAAGTAATTGTTAGTTGTTTCTACTTCCTTCATAAGATTCCAGTTTGCAACATTGTTGAGCAGGTGAGACAATAAAGTTGCATGAGATGTTCAAACCACCATTACAGTTTGCAAAATTAGAAAGTCAACTGTAGGCTTCTCTACCTACCTAGCACAAAAGTTCATAAATCAAGCAACATCCAAGTCTATTCTGAATCATTTATACTTAGATGATAGACTAATTATAAAAGCACACGTTAGGTGCCTTCCATTTGTTTTCAACCATTGTGACCATGTGACAGTACAACTGCCTTGTAGGGTTTTCTTGGCTGTAATCTTTATGGAAGTGGGTCACTAGGTTTTTCTCCTGCAGAGGCACTGGATGGACTCAAACTGCCAACCTTTTGGTTAGCAGTCAAGTACTTTTTTAGTTTGTGCCACCATGTACAAGTGTCAGTAGATTTTTGAAAATAAAATACTTATGGTTTATGAACCATATTTCCGTATAGATGGTGTATGTGATCTTAGAGAATTTTTAGCTGCTTGAAGTTGCTTCTAATGGGATATGTGGGAAGTAGCTTTCTAGTGGGAAGGGGCAAATTACTGGGAGACCTACTCCATCAGATAATTAAGAACATTTTCCTGGGAACCAGGAAAAGCCTGCATTATAAAACAATGTTTATCAAGGAGTTTGAACTGATTTCATAAAATGTCCTTCTAATTACATTTCTGCAACTGGACTGGGAAGCCTGGATATGCCAGTGTGTATGAGATACACATGTAAGTGAGGATCGTGCCTAACAAGATCTGCAGACCAAGGTCTTGGTCTTTCATATGCCTGCTAGTTGACTTCTAGACTAATCCTTATTTCCTCCACCAAATAGGAGAAACTAAAGGTTCCTTATGAGAACAGTGAGTTAGAGATAAATTTAGTACCTCAAAAATGCTGGTTAACCGAATTAAGTCACTAATGACCTCCTAATCTATTAGAATGAACCTTTTCTATTTTTTGCGGGTTTAGTTACAATGAAGTGGTTTGTATAGCTAACAAAATGGTAAGAACAAGTGATTTGTAACTTAGGTCAGCAGGGGAAAATATTGTTATGCTGTATAAAAGGTATATAAAACATGAAAAATCAAGTGTGTTTTTAGATCAATGAATTCAATTCTGTAGTATTAAGGCCTAATCACCAGAAATAGGATAAATTAGAACAATTGATTTATCTGATGTGTAATACATGTAGGAAATTTTAAAAAATTCTAAAGATACCTGGGTTCAATCTCATCTTCAAAGGGAATGTTCATAACTTCACAATCATCAATCATTCTTACTGAATAGAAATCTCTACTTTGAGCCTAGAATCATTTCTCTATTGATTTTATGGTATGTTGAATCA